CCCCCCAAAAAAAAGGGACCCCCGAGGGCCAACCCCGCCCCCCGCCGGGGCTGTGGAGGGAATCCAGCCTGGACGGGGCCAAGGTGAGCCCGGATTTATTTTTTTTTGGGGTGGGGTCCAAACCTTAAACCCCCTCCCCCGCCAAAAAAAAACAAAAAAAAAAACCCTTTTTAACCATTTTTTAACCTTTTTAACCCTTTAAAGGACGGCGCTTTCGGCTCTCACAGCGCCACGCTGCCGCGGAATTACAAACTGTCCCCCCTGGAGCGGCGACAAGAGGGGGGGTCTCCGCTTTTCCGACCCCCCCCCACCTCCAGGACCCTTCCCCGGGGGTGGCACCTGTGCCAGCAGCCGGTGTCGCGCATCCCCGTGCCCCCCCCGGCCGGGAGACCCCCCCGCCACAAGCCCCTTCCCCTCTCCATGATCTTCAGGCTGCAGAACGCTTTTTGGGAGCAGGGGGGGGCCGGGCACAGGGGGCTTCCCCCCCTGATCGCCCCCTCCCCAGCTGGGGGGACCCCGCGGGGGTCGCCACAAAAGATGCCGGCGCTGCCCCCGGCCCCCCACGCGGCGGCACCCGCCCCGCGCCCCCCGACCCTCCCGAGGCCGAGGCGGAGCTGGAGCACCTCCTGCGCTGCTCGGACCCGGAGGGACCCCCTGAAGGACCCCCGGAGGGACCCCCGGAGGGACCCCCGGAGGGACCCCCGGCCCGGCCGCTGAGCCCCACGCGGCTGCAGCCGCTGCTGCCCCCCGAGGCTCGCAGGGTGCCCGAGTTCCAGGAGGTCGCCCGCGTTCTGGCGGAGATGCCGCGGCCGCTCAAGCGCCGGGGCTCCATGGAGCAGAGCCCCGGGCCCGCCGCCGCCCCGGCGCGCACCCGCCACTACCGGCAGCTGATCCCGCGCCTGCTGCACCGCCCCGGCACGGCGGCAGCACCGGGGGATGGCGGCGCGGAGGTGGCGCTGCCTTTGTCGCCTCCTCCTCCTCCTCCTCCTCCTCCTCCTCCTCCGGCCGTGGAGAGCTCGCCCCCGGTGGTGGCGGCGGGGGGCGCGGGGCAGGTGCCGGTGAGTGGGGACAGCAGGGTGTGGCGTTGTCACTTTGGGACCCTCCCCAGTGTCATTGTCACTCTGGGACCCCCGAGGTGTCATTGTCACTCTGGGACCCTCCCCAATGTCATTGTCACTCTGGGACCCCCGAGGTGTCATTGTCACTCTGGGACCCTCCCCAATGTCATTGTCACTCTGGGACCCCCGAGGTGTCATTGTCACTCTGGGACCCTCCCCAATGTCATTGTCACTCTGGGACCCCCGAGGTGTCATTGTCACTCTGGGACCCCCGAGGTGTCATTGTCACTCTGGGACCCCCGAGGTGTCA